GGTCTTGCAGATTACCCCTTTTGATCAACTATCTAAGCTGTCATCCTTTGCTACGTCCCCACTATGAAACCAACAAAAAGGAGGTGGGGCAAGCCACTCCTCTCTAACTGAATTAGTGAAGGTAGCTTAGATAAAAGGCTGCACAGAGCTTATACCTCCAGTTGTGCTGGCTTATTGTAGCTCAAAATAGCAGTGGTAGTTAATGGGTAGGGTTATATGTGTGTTCTCATAAGTAGTAGAAAGGACAGAAACAAAGAAGTCAAGACACACACATCCCCTGCCCCATATCTACAATATTTAACACACACCAGGCTTTAAAGCTGTATCTTCAGGGTGGTTAAACCAACATTTTGCATGGTCATATTCCAAAGAAATACATGAATAGGAGTTCACTAGATGAGTCGTTCTCAAACTTAGGTCCCCAGATGTTCTTGTACTGCAACTCTCAGAAATCCTGGCCAGCACAGCAACTCCTGAAGTTTTCTGGGAATTTCGGTATAAGAACATCTGGGGACCCCAGTTTGAGAACCACTGCACTAGACAATGTTTTTCATTCATATTGGCTGAAGGGCCTTGCAGCCTGCAGTGCAGATGTGGTTGGACTGAAGTCCAGGATCCAGTAGCCCAGGTAATCTCTCTGACCACCCAAAGTGCAGTAGAGCATCCACATATTTGAACCAGCAATGTTTTATAAAAGCATTTTACAATCGGTATGTACATGTTTTATTATGTTTCATGCTGTCAGATTAGAACCAATTTACATTAACTCTAACAGGGTTTTCAAGGTAAGTGAGATATTGAAGGAGTGGTGTTACTGGTTCCATTCCTGTCCCTCATGAGTTTCTATGGCTAAGTGAGACTCGGGTCTTCTGATTAATAATATATCACTCTGTCCACCACACTATGCTGGTTACCAATGGCAGTTTTCTCATTTTTATTTTTAAAAGATTTTTTTTTCCTACAACCACATTGTGCTCAGTGGTAAGATATATTCTGTTTCAGGACAATAGAAGTGAACTCCATTTAACTCATCAAGTTATGACAATAGGGTTATGATTTAACTAAGCACAGAATGCAAAACAATACATGCTAGGAGTATTTCTTTTCTTCTTTTAATCAAGTTTGACCTGCATAGATTTTAGTTTTTTGTGTGTGTGTGTTTTATTTTGCTCTAATATTTTGACACAGAAGCCAAATCCAGAGAGACACAATTCCCAGAATTTCCCAGCCAGCATAGCCACCGGCCATGCATGCTGGGGTATCCTAGGAGGTGTAGTGAAAAAGAAGTAACTTTTTGCAAACTCTGATCTAAACCCCCCTCCTGACATAACTAAGTCTAGAGTGTAGAACGTTCAAATTACATCACTCTTTGCAGCAAAGGTGTGGAACAATGGCTCCTTGGCGTCCTCCTGCCAACTGATTCCGTGATCTGTTAGAGCTCAACTCCTTTCTCATTCGGCTGTTCTTTGTAAGGTCTTTACGTGTGAAAGAAAAGAGGACTTCTATACCTTTAAGAGCAGGATGTTCAGCAGGTGTAGCTTGTCATGGAAACAAGATCTGCTGAAATTTGCTTCTATACAGCTATTAAAGGTACAGGAGCCTTTTCTCCTTCTTTATTTGGCCATTATAATTCTACTTCTTACTCCCATTTTGAAAAGCAACAGCCATATTCTTAATTGTTATGCACAATTTTACCCATAATGGTTATATCTGCAGTACAGAAACTTCATTTTATAATCATTACTGTGACAATTACCATGCAGATTACATGACTGAAGTGGGATCTTTAAAATCTAGGATACTGAGAAATGAAGTGATGTTACACATCATGTGAATTTTTCAACATCCTTTTTTTATTTGTTGTTATGGGAAGGTAAAAAACAACAACCCTGGAATACCATATGTTCCTAACAGAGACTTTTGTGTAAACATGAGATGCTCAAGCTTCTTATACCACATGACTGGCAGCATTCTGATACATTTCCTAATGCATCATTCTGACTTCAGTCAAAGCAGATAAACAAACATGAAACACTGGAAACCCAGAATTAGAAGCTGATTTTTGTCCAAGGATAAGAAGAATTAGACTTAAGCAATCAAGAAAGCAGAAAAAACCAGATGACTTGGGAAGAAGCAGCAAATTGCAAAATGCCCAAGCCAAATTATAACAGAGCAATGGGAATGTTGCAACTCATGCAGGCAGGATGTACCATTATGGATTTAAAGCAAGGATGGGCAATCTTTCCTTATCTTTCCAATCAAAAGAAGCAATTAGATGAAGGTAGTTTGACCCCATCCTGATTTATATAATTACAAAAAAAAGTCCTGGACTAAAGGAAGAATCAGAAGCTGACGACAATCATGTGTGCACATCTCTAACTAATTTTTAGAAAATTATACATAGTTTAAAATGGTTTAAAACATTTAACATAATTGTAAATTGTTTTCAACTGTTTGTTATTTAAATTGTTTTAGTGCCTGATTTAGTGCCTGGCCAGAGATATTTGAATATGTAAATATGACAACTCTGATATGTACTCCAGGATATGACCCCAACATTGCTTTTCCATTTCAGAATGCTTTGCTAGATATAAATTGATACCTGCACCCACCTACCAGTTACTCTGCAATCTCCATTTTGGGGCTGTGTTTAACAGCAACCTTCTTAGCTACAACACTGGGCCTACTTTCTAAACATCCCATCTTCTTCCTCCTTCCTTTTAATACCACCTTGCCTGATGAAGAACTTTCACTATTTCGTGGCATTTTGGTGGGTCCTAAAATATGGATTTAGGTAGCTTTCCCCCTCACAGAACAACTTTACTACCATTGTTTTGCCGTTATTGTAGACACACAGAGAGGAAAAGTGAATGGCTTCACATGGTGACCAATTACATTCAGATATATTCCACATATGTTGCCATGCATGAATGCTATGCTAAACATCCCACACTTGTGGAATTTGGTTTCATGAGTCTGAATTCCATATTTATTTCTCAGAATTCACCAGTGAATGCTACCACCAGACCCATTCAGGCATCTGCCAAAATTCCCCGGTGTATTTTGAGGCCTTGGGCATCTATCTCCATGTGAATATTAGCAATTCTAAAAAGTATTTTTCTCTGAATATTGGTCAACATAGGTTTTCTGATTACAAAAATGTTTTGGTAGTCCCTAAGGAATTTTAAGCAACAAGCTTTTAGTACAACTGATTGCTTTCAGGAATCATGGAGAATGTAGGTTTGCATTATGAGATTCAAATCTGTATTTCTATATCCTATATTTTTACTCAGGTTCATTGTGATTCACAGATAGAGATGCTATATGTTGGCAACATTTCCGGAGTAATGAGTTAAAAGATGTGTTTGAAAAGAAATTGTCTGGTTACTTTGAACCAGAATCTTAGAAGCCCAAAGAGTTATGAACAGCTTTTAAAAGGTTTTGAAATGTTGTATTAAAAATTGTCCTGGATAAATATCTGGAAACGAACAGTGATTTTTCCAATAATTTATTGAAACCTGTGGGCAGAATAAAATTGTCTCAATGACCTTTTATATCACGTTGTTTCAGCAATGAAAACCAAAGAACACACAAACAAAAAAACAATTACATATGAGGTGGTTCAAGGACAATCTTTGCTTCTGCTGAGAGTCCATTATCTTTAAAACCTGTAGGCAGGTTATCAGATGGCTAAGTTTGTCTTTCCTCCATATAATTCATTCTTCTTTTAATACAGTGACAGTTTATTAAAGAAATCCAAACACACACAGAGAAAGAGAGCACAAACAGGGATAAATGGAACTGTCAATTCATTCTTTATATGAAACAGGCTGAGAGCCTGTGGAAAGAGAGTCTCTTACCACATTTGCTGCCTTGTGTTACAAGATGCTATGCTGACTCTCTGCAGTAAGAGTGTGTGTATATTCATCTTTCTAAATACACCAAAATGCATATTACCAGAACACAGAAAGCTGGAGAGGATGTAAATGCAGGACCTTGCAATGAAGCAAGACTTTTGTCTCTAACCTGGATCCAAAGAACAGAAGCCTCCCAAACATGAAACAGAAGAGCCAGCCAAAAGTTTTTCCTGTTCAGCTCTATATAAACATAAGACATTGCTGGCAAAGGTAGGTGGGGAAAAATTAAAGGAACAGTTTCAAAACAGGCAACTTGTGGAATGAAAGCCGAATGCCCCCAAGCTGTAAGGTATGACACAGCTAGAGAGTACCAAAGAGTTTCGCTGTCAGGGATGTTGGCAGAAACAGCTGTATCATTTTGGTGCACTGTCTGTCTTCAGGGCTAGCAGGTGGAGGTCCCTGCAGGTCTGGGCACCTGTCCCCTGGGAGAAAGTTGCCTTAAATTCAGTGGGACTCATGCCCCAGGACACATACCTTATAACGGGGTTAACAAAATATACAGTACAAGTCAAAATTGTGACCACAGCAGTTGACTGAAGAAAGCCCCAGAGGAATGTCAGAAAGGAAGATTAAAGATAGTTGTAATGCCTGGCTATAGTTTCTCTCTGCCATTCTATATGCTCCGATTATGTTCCCCCAGTCAACATAGATTTTCTTATTTCTGATTCAGATCAGAATTCCCTTCTCAGGAAGACAGGACTTATTTTTTACTAAGAGTTGTGGAGATTGGAGGGGGGGGAAGGCAGATGTCAGCAGGTACAGCTTATTGTGCCGCAGGTTCAAATCATGAGAAAAGCTTCACTTAATGAAATCTGCCTTAGTATTACTCTGAACAGCGATGGGTGCTTTGTCCTCTCTTGCATCTGATCACCCTTCACCTATGTGACCTGGAAGCCATTCCTGAAACTATTGCCCATAAGAGAAGCTGAGACGATCACAGCTCCCTACAGGTGTTTTGCTAGAAATGTTGCAGGAGACAGAAGGCACAGAAAGGTGGATTTTCTATGGGCAAAAGCTAGGCAAAAGCATGGACAGGCAGATCGTCAAAAGTGTCCCACTGAATAGTATGCATGCACGTCTCACCTCCAGGCTTCGTCAGCTCATCCCATTCCAATCAATGGGTTCCTGCTCTTGAGCATCTCCAGCAGTCAGCTCCAGGCTTGAGAGTTTCCAAGGGTGATGGTACAATAGTCCAGTCTGCAAGGAGGGCCATCTCTGTAAATGACACCTGAACTGAAGTGAGGCAGCAAAAGCAGCTGAGATGACTCTCGGGCTCAGCAACGACAGCCGGCACTTGCTGTTGCTTCTTGTGTTGAATAGCGTAGGAAAGCCAAAAACAGACTCAGTCACCGCCACCTGCTGGATGCTTAAATCGCTGCTCAGTCGAACCACATCCGTTCCTGTCAGTGATTCATTCGCCCTTAGGAGAGGCTGAGAGGACTCGAGAAAGCAATTTTCTTCCACATATCGCAAAGTCTCTTCAAAGTATAGCATGGCATATCGAAGTCATGACAGTTCCTCCTAACTTAGGATCACTAGTAAGTCAAAATCCCTGATCTGTAATATTATTCACACTGAGCCCAGTATCATGCAGAGTCAATATCTGGACTATTGCTGTTTCAGTGACCTGTGGGAGTAGTCAAAACAAAATGAACAACCATCCTCTCAAAAAAGCTCATGTTTTGGACAGTCCTTGAAACTCACCTGCCCAGTTTTTGTACACTTTGCCTTTTCTTCTGCCATCCCTCCTTAAATCTAATCTACATAATGTTGCTGTTATGTGCCGTCAAGTCACCTTCAAGCTTCCATAATAAAGTGTGCCACTTATATACTGCCCCACAATGCTTAAAGCTCTCTCTGGGCAGTTTACAACATAATTATACAGGCTACATATTGCTCCTCTCCCAGTCAGCTGGGTACTCCATTTACCACCCTTAGAAGAACGGAAGTCTGAGTGAACCTTGAGCTGGCTACCTGGGATTGAACCTGGCTTGTGACTAGAGTTTTGGCCGCAGTAGTGCTCTTTCCATATATCCAAAAGAAAATCCATATATTAAAAAATTCACATAAATAACAGCTGTGCAATATTGTTGCCTGACATCCAGGATGAATTTGAACCTAGAGACGTACTAAATAAATATCTAAATGCTATGGTACAGGTTGGAGCCATGTCTCATTTATCAGGTTGCTCTTTCTTAGTGAACACTTCTTTCTAAATCACAAATAACCCAGGTATCAGCTCTAACAAAAGTACTATATACTCAGGATGGATAGCCCACTATAAAGTCTGTCCCCACACCAATAGTGCTAATTTCTGCCTAGAGTTTTTGCCTACTGCTTGTGTGAACCAAAAGCAGCCTTTCTTCCATGTGTCTGAATTCCAAAAACTCAGATAGAAAGCTTCAAATATCTCCCCTTGTTCCAGGTCACATAGATCCATTGAACTTTTAAAAATTATTTCTTGTGTGCAATTTGTGCTTTAAGGGCTATGTTACATAGCATGTTAGTCACCTTGGGCTCCTTTGAGGGTAGGTAGGACATAAACCAAATCAGATATATCAGTGAAGCAGTCCCCAAACACTTACCTGGGCATATGTCCCACTGAAATCTGTGGGGAATTCCTCTGAATAGCACATCAAGACAGCACCCAATCCATAGTTTTCTGGGAGGAAATTATACTAAAATAGTAGGACTTGCTTCATTCTGAATCCTGCCCCCTCCCAATTGTGTATGTTCTATGCCATAAAGTCAGAACAGACTTATAGTAACCCTAATAGGGTTTTCAAGGTAAGTGAGATATTTAAGGAGTGGCTTTACCAGTTCCACTCCCCCAGTCAATTTCCAAGGATTCAAACTCTGTTCTCCATAGTCTTAGTCCATCACTCTGTTCACTACACCACACTGGGAATCCCCCCCCCCATTATTTAGGAGCAGAGAAATAATCCTGGCTACCATCGTACAAAACAAAATGAACAAAGCATATAAAATTTCACATTTTGTATGCATAAAAATAACTTGACTTTGACCAAGCACCTTGTATACTCCCACACAATGAACTATATATTGTTACAACAAACTGCCCACTCTCTTCTCTCATTTCTCAACATTTTACCATATAGCACAGGTCCTCTGCATGGTTCTGCTACATGTAACCAAAATGTCAAGGCTTCACTCTCACTACCTGAGTAACTAGAACAAGACTCTGATCTTATGCTTTAATAGAGAACTGAGATGCTGACATGAGAGACAAATTTCTATTGTCCTACTAGTTAACAGTTTAATACTCACTGCCTTATATCTTCTTAGCTACATATAAAGCTGTTTTGGATATCAGCCTGATCTTTCCAAAGGCACACCAAGGAAATATTCTCCTTTCTCTTAAGAACAAATTAAGTAATTGAAACCACCACCTTAATTTCCCATGACAATAAATATCTAACAGTTTCTCAAAGTGTTCCTTGTATCTTCATTTGAAGGTTCCATTTTTCTATCTACTGCTTCTCCACTTTTCCTATCCTAGTAATTTCCACACAGGAACATTCCCCACAGCCTTTAATTGCCACAGATAATGATTTTAAAGCTACAGGTTTGTTTGTCTGCCTGTCAATATATCCTGTGTTTCAGCCCCTATAACATTCCTCAAGAAGAAGCCTTTTATCCCCCTGGCTTCCTCTTAATTTGTAACTGATGCCCAGAGACATCAACACCCTGTCATAATAGCAAACTTCTCTCCTCCCTCCTCTCCCCCTCCCTCTTTCTTTTTCTCTTTCACTCTGTGTTTTACACAGGTGTTTTGGACAAGATAGCCACCCCACCCCCACATCTCATTTCATGTATGGAAAGTGGTTAGACTGGCAGTGTAATGTTGCAGTTTATTAATATTCCTGTATTGAGCAAGGGGTGGACTTGATGGCCTTATAGGCCCCTTCCTACCCAATTATTCTATGATTCTAAACACTAATAATGGCAAAGTTGCTACATTTGGGGTGTCATACTAGTTTATAGGTCATATGATATGTTGTTTCCCATAGGGGAGAACCAAGAGGAACCATCAGAAGGCTGTCACCAATACCAGCCACCTGAAGTGATTGCCTGACTCTAGGAGATGGTAGGCTGGCTGTTTTCTCTTATACCTTCTTCTAGGCTCTGCCACCTTTTTCCCCCTAATGCAGAAAATCTCTCTCTCTGCATGCACATGAAACAAAAATGCATAATTTTCCCATGGTTGTTTGTTTTTAGTGTTCCTATTCCATACTATACAGTTTCAAACCATGCAGTGACCCATTGGACAGGTGGGTGAGCTTATGGGGAAGGACAATGCCCTGACAGTGCTAAGGGCTACGGGTCTAGAAGTCTACTGAGGCTAGTTTCTCTTGAAGAAAAGTCTCTTGAGTTATTTTTCTTCAGCGAATGTGACTTGCCAAGTCCTCAGGAAGGTATCTCTGAATAGCACTGCTAAAGAGATGCCTCTACTGTTTCCGTAATGGAAACAAAGACAGTTTGGCATGTACCAAGCCAGGAATCTTGATTATAACAGTGGCTGGAAAAGTTACAGTTTTGGACTATGACTGCCAGAGTCCCTCAGCTGGCATGGCCAGTGGATTGTAACAATGGAGCAAGTAGCTGTCTCGAGCAGTTTTCTGCACTTGCCTCTTCCAGTGGTTCCCAAATGTTTACCCCAGGGATAATCATGATGACACAGTCAAGGGATAGACATGTTCTTCATCTCCTGCAACTCTTTCATCTGCTCTGTTGCTAAATCTGTTCTCCTGTGGATTGCATGTGAAATGCCATCTCCCAAGTCCTGCTGACGCATACGTTCTTTCTTGTGCAATGCCTGGAGAGGGAAAATCACACTTACCAGCAAGTTGCATGAGGGGGTGGTTGGGGAGGGGGAACACAGTTCTCCTGCATATTACACTGTGCAGTCTCCCAGATGGCATGGTGATGGGCAGGCAAAATAAGCAGTCTCTTCTGTGGAGATGGCTCTTCCTCCCTTTGCTAGAAGCCTGTCTGGAGAGTTAACTTCCCTGCATTACTGAAAATGTTCACCTGCCTTGCAGAAACAGACCCTAGTCTTTTCGGAAGCAAACTGAGCATTGCCTTCCTGCCAAGCTTTTTTTTTCATCTGTTAGAAAAAAAATCAAGACAGAAAAAGCTCTCATTGAATTACTTCCCTTAGATATGGAGCTGCTCCCCTTCTGGTCATGTGTCCAAAATTTAACAAAAGCATTAGTCAATTAGATCAGTTTCTTGTAGAGAATGCTTAAAATTATACTTTGGATCTTTAAATTCTTAACTTATTTGGACTGAATCCATGTCTCGCATCTCCTTTCCCTTGATTGTTCAAATATATTCCACTTTTTGTGAGTTTGTCTCTACCTGCTGTCCTTTCTGTTTGTTTCAGGCATAGCCTGCCCAGCTTTATAACCACTGGATCAAACTGGAGAATATTCTGCATATGGAGTGGTGGACTAAAGATTGTTTCACTTGCATTCAGAAATAAATATGGAGAGGGCCATTCCCAACCAATTTAGTCTGCTGTGTCAGGAGAGGAACACAGGAGTCTGACTTATATTAAGGAAAGGCTGAAAAAACTGGGTATGTTTAGTCTTGAGAAAAGAAGACTGTTGGGAGATACAATAACACTTTTCAAATACTGGAAAGGTAGTCATACAGAAAAGGGGGAGGATCTGTTCTCAGTCATCCCGGACTGCGGAACATGTAATAATGGGCTCAAGCTATGGAAAGCCAGGTTTAGGCTAACAGGAAAACCCTCTTAACAGTTAGAACACTAAGACAATGGAACCAATTATCCCAGGAGGTGGTGATTGCTCTAGTGCAATCATCTGTCAGATCTGGTTTGACTTAGATTCTTGCATTGAGCACAGGGGATGAACCTGATGGCCTTATAGAGCTGCCTAGAGTGGTCATGATGACCAGATAGGTGGGATATAAATAGAATAAATAAATAAAATAAATAAAAATTATAGTCCCCTTCCTACTTGATTTTTCTGTGATTCTGTGATTCTATACCAAATCTAACCTTGGTACATCTAATCTGGCATTGTAAGGACTGATTGGCAGTAGCTTGCCAATGGTTTTGACAGGGCTTCTAGAGACCTAGGGGCTAAACCTCCAGCCTTCTCTATGCAAAGCATGTGTTTTACTGTTGAGCCACAGCATCTCCTCCTTAAGGCATGGGCTTACACCTTCTCCAAGCTAGTATCTTAAACTGCATTTTTCAACCCATACAAAAGACAAATGAGGAGAAAAAACATCATTTTCTTGGCCATCTTCTTAACTTTGTCTATTGCATCACCGCTATCTCTCATGTGTGGCTCTGTACTCACTTACTCCTGCCTCTCATACCTATCTGTGTCAATCCAGTTCATGAATTCTTTTTATTTATTCAGTTAATTGCTACCCCTATCTTTCTCCCAGAGAAGGTCTTTA